GCTCCTAATAGCTAAAAAGCAATATGGTGTTCTTATTTTATGCTATTAAATTAGCAAGAATTTCCATTTACTGCCAGTCAAATTAGAAGGAGAGAGCTAACGCTATGCTACGAGACAAAGAGCTAACGTTATGCTAAAGAACCATAAATTAAAGTTACAAACCATTTCAAATGAACTCCAAACTGTGATAAGTTGACAACCAGGTCAACACCAGGAGGTCTTCTAGTCCTGGATCGACTCACATTAAAGGAAATCTTCGATGTATTATATATTGTCTTTTTTTTAAATATATTTTACTTGATACATCTCATGATTTTATGGTAAATTAATGTTTATCTCATGACGCTACCCATAAATCGTTTGCTGTAAATCAGATACTTTATTGAACTAACATTTACAAATAGTCACTATGAGATCGAACTTCTACAAAATGTGTTTCTTTAATTATTTCACAGAGTTTTAAGCTTCACTTCTGACTTTAATTGTCACAATTGATATTTCAGCCTTACAACTGTGTGGCTCTGTGGCGCAATGGATAGCGCGTTGGACTTCTAGTCAAACACTTGAGATGTCATTCAAAGGTTGTGGGTTCGAGTCCCACCAGAGTCAATCTTCATAGTTGGACATCAGACATCTAAAAAAGTCAAGAAGGTACAAGCCAACTGTGATCAATTGTACCAGCTTTAATTTATCTTTAATCCGACTCGATCCAGATACAAAACACATCATATTTTGACTTAATATGTAACCTATCAGAGTGTGGCGATTGTTGCACATGGTTTGTATCAGAGTCTTTATCCACCTCCTTTAACTCTGGAGGGACTCAAACCAAGTAGATTTCAATGTATTGCGAGCAACAGCGATTACCTTTTTAGACTGACTCAACCAAAACCATAATGCTGTTGACTTTTTTAGATTAGCAACCTGTTTATTTATTTTATATGAGCTTCATGAGCCTTCGTCAACCTCTGACGTCCAACTATGAAGATTGACTCTGGTGGGACTCGAACCCACAACCTTTGAATGACATCTCAAGCGTTTGACTAGAAGTCCAACGCGCTATCCATTGCGCCACAGAGCCACACAGTTGTAAGGCTGAAATATCAATTGTGACACGACCAGTATCCTCCATGTCTTCTAGTTAGACACTGGAGAGGTGATTCAAAGGTTGTTGGTTCGAGTCCCACCTTAGATGATCTTCATAGGTTTACAACAGTGTGCAGAGCAGTGTATCGTCCTGTGAGCTCTGTGGGTTTGTGGTGCAATGGATAGTGCGTTGGACTTCTAGAAGCACAGGACAAAAGTGTTTCAAAGGTTCTGGGTTCAAGCTGGGGAACACTCGTCCGTCTGATGGCCTCCGCACACCAACCCGATTATCGGCCGTCGGACGTCGTCGGACAGTCAGGCGAGGTCGGTGGCTCGAGTTCGGTTCGGTGTGTCCCGTGCCGTC